GATGGCTGACACAGGTGAGCAGTGCTATGATGGCTGACACAGGTGATGATGGCTGACACAGGTGAGCAGTGCTATGATGGCTGACTCAGGTGATGATGGCTGACACAGGTGATGATGGCTGACTCAGGTGAGCAGTGCTATGATGGCTGACACAGGTGATGATGGCTGACACAGGTGATGATGGCTGACACAGGTGAGCAGTGCTATGATGGCTGACACAGGTGATGATGGCTGACACAGGTGATGATGGCTGACACAGGTGATGATGGCTGACTCAGGTGAGCAGTGCTATGATGGCTGACTCAGGTGAGCAGTGCTATGATGGCTGACACAGGTGATGATGGCTGACACAGGTGATGATGGCTGACTCAGGTGAGCAGTGCTATGATGGCTGACACAGGTGATGATGGCTGACACAGGTGAGCAGTGCTATGATGGCTGACGCAGCAGCACCATTTTCTTTTGCTTCTTCAACACTACTCTCTCCTGTTGTCCACCGTCTGATCAGCTTAAGAGTCGACCGGCTTCTTCATCCTTAAGAAACAAATACTGCCACCATTTCTGCCCCAAACTCAAACTCCCTTTGTGCCTTCTAACCTCATTAGTATACCTGTGCTTATATGGAATACCCTTGCCAGGGGGTAGTGGCTCATGCCTTTAATCCCAGCACTAGGGAGGCAAAGACAGGCAGAGCTCTGTGAGTTCCAGGACAGCTAGAGCTACACAGAGAAATCTTGCCTTGGGGGAGGAAAAAAAAAAGCCTACCCTTGCTTAGTTCTCATGAATCCTTTAAAGGACACCAAGCTGTCTTTGTCGCCTCCTCAAACTCCATCACTCTTGTTTTGTTAAGGTCACCGCAATGGATGGGTGGCAACCTGCCAAAGATATCTCTAAATTCTAATCCCGAGAGCCTTTGAGTATGACATTATTTGGTAAAAGGAGATTTGCCACATAATTAAACATATGGTTGCCAGAAATCATTTAAGATGTAGAAGAAGCCTTAAATTCCATGACAGGTGCCTTTATGAGAAAAAAGCAGCAGGGGAGGGCCGGGTAAAGACAGAGACTGCTGAAGTGATACATCCCTAGGGCACGGAGGCTGGCAGCCACCGGCAGAAGACGTCAGGAAGGGCGCCCTGCAGAGCCTCATCACCTCCACGAGAGCTGTCTTCAGAACTGCAGACGACAGAACAGACGCACTAGCTTGGAGGTGGAGCACTGACTGGCCTTGCTATAGCTCTGGGTTCAGGGCCAGTGAGATGGTCCAGTGGGGAAGGGGATCTGCTTACTGGGGTAGTGACCTGAGCTCATTGCCTAGATTCCAAGTGATGGAAGGTGAGAATAAACACTTGCAAGTTGTTCTCTGGCCTCTGAATGCTTCCTGTGGCATGTCCCTCCTAAACGATAGTAAATGTGAAAGACTGAGTCTAATCCTTAGCACTGCAAAGCAAAGCAGCCACCCAGGGAAGCTGAACAAAGCAAGGCCTGAAAACAAAGTCGTCTGAGAGAATACCTCTGAGCTTTTAAGCCGGCAAGGTTGTGGTAGCCTAGGAAGGTCACAAACCATGCTACTCTTGCCTTCAGTGTTCCTTTGATGCACAGCAGTTTTAGTCCATTAAAACATCTTAAGCCAGGTGTGGTGGTGCACACCTTTATCTCAGCACTCAGGAGGCAGAGGCAGCCTGATCTCTGAGTTCCAGCCCAACCTGGTCTACAGAGCACGTGCCAGGACAGCCAAAGTTACACAAAGAAACCCTGTCTCAAACACAAAGCATAACAAAAACACGCCAAGTCCTGGTGTCCAGGTTCCCCGTTTCTATTGGATTTGCTTTCTCTGTGTCTCATCATCAAGCCCTTCCCAGGTCTGAGATTCTAGTCACTCTTCTGTCAAGTCATTTGAGTCATCACAGTGGCAAGCATGCATCACCATGCCCCCAAAGTGCTGAAGTCTGTGCTGCCCGTATTTCAAAGGACACAAAGGTTACATGTGAGCCTGGGATGCAATTTTTGAATACATTCTGTAACGTGTAGTCTTCCCTCCAGCTGCCTGGGTCCCGCCGATGTCTCAGTCCCCAAATAACACACAAGACACTATAATAAGCTGTTGCCCATTTGTTATGGTTTCTTAATGGCTGGCTCTGACTTAATTATTAACCCATAATTACTAATATATACTTTTATAGGGTCATATTTTACCGAGAACGACAGACTTGCGCCCTCTCCTCCTGGCATCACATGGTGACTCCTTCCTCTTGACTACTTTTCAACAGTCTTAGTTACTACAAAATAGAGATCTTCTTGAATTTAGGTCACACTTTTAGGAATGAATGCTGCAGTGCTAAAGGAAAAGACATTCATAAATTCACTGCCACTTTGGCAGGGTGAAGGGTGGGTCCAGATGTAGATTCCGAGTCTATTGAACAGAAGACTGACGATGGGCATGGCTGGCAGCACTCCTGCTCAGATTAACCCAAATGAGCTTCCCTACACAGTGGGATACTGCCCACTGAAAAAGAACGTTTTGTCCCTAAGTCAGAGGAAGAAGATACAGGAAGGTAAAGATGTCACCAACAAAACCAAAGAAACCAAAGTGTACCGGGAATAAATTCAGTGTTTTTAAAGTTCTGTTTTGTACATGTATGTGTACTTATATGAACATGCATAAGGTCAGAGGTCATGGAGAGGATCAGAAGGTGGTTCAGGAGGAAAGTGCTTGCCACACAAGTGTAAAGACCTGAAGCTCATCTGCACCCACCTAAGCAGCCATGGTCAGTGGTACATGCTGGGAGATAAGCAGGAAGATCCCTGGGGATTGTTGGCCAGTAACTCTAACTAAGCAGTGAGCTCCAGATTCAGTAAGAGACTATCTCCAAACATAAGGTGAAGGGACAGCTGGGAAAGACAGAATCAATGTCAGCCACTGGCCTACCCACATCCCCCTCACACACACCACACACACACACCACATAAAACACACACCACACACACCACACAAACACACCACATAAAACACACACCACACACACACACACACACACACACACACATACACACACACACACACACACACACACACACACACACACACACACACCACACACACACACACACACACACACACACACACACACACACAAACACACACCACATAAAACACACACACACACACCACACAAAACACACACCACACACACACACAAACACACACCACATAAAACACACACCACACACACACACACAACACACACACACACACACATACACACACACACACACCACACACACACACCACATACCATGTACATGCCACACACACACCACACAAACACACCACATAAAACACACACCACACACACCACACAAACACACACCACATAAAACACACACCACACACACATACACACACACACACCACACAAACACACACCACACACACACACACACACACACCACATACCATGTACATGCCACACACACACCACACACATACATGCACATACCACATACCACACAAAACACACACCACACACATACCACCCCCCCCACATACACACATACATACCACTTTACATACCACACACACACACACCACATAAAACACACACCACACACATACCACCCCCCCACCACACACACCCATATAAATGCACACACACAGGATGAAATCCACACAACCAAGGCCCTCGGCCCAGCTTAGCGGAAGCATCGACTTGGGAGGTGGGAGTTAGTTAGCAGCACTTGAGTGCTGGAGGCAGCAGAGCCAGGAGTTCAAGGTGCTCCGAGGTTTGAGGCTAACCTGGGCCACGTGAAACCATGTCTTAACCCCCACCCTGTAAAAAGTCCTCAGCACATTCTTTGGGGTCCTGTCCTTACCTACTGACTCCAGGGTGGTAGCCATGGAACATTTCTGTAAAGTGCTGTCTTTTGCACAGTTGGCAGCTTTCTGGATAGGCATACCTGGGATGGCCTGGGTAGTTTCAAGGATGTGTTAAAGTGAATATGCAGATTTAAGCCTCTTATTTGCATGTGGTCTTCAGCACTAGGTAAACACTGACCCACCTTGAGAGAGTACCTCAGACTGCTTATGCGGAGAGCAGGAAGAAATTGTAATTTCTGATGGTCAGGAGATACCACTCCTGTAGCCATAACAATAGCCTTTCTGCCTCGGGACTTTACCTCTGAAGAAGAGATATCTGTGCCAAACACACTTTCTCTGCTAAAGCCTTCTTTGGCTCAGAAAGCCCAACCCATCGTTTCTATTTACAGTTATCATCGTTATCCTGGGACCACAGGCCACCCCTCACACCTGAGACAGGGTCTGTGGAGTTCACGCTGTCCTGGAACTCACAGAGATCCTCCTGCGTCTGCCTCCTGAGTGCTGAGATTAAAGGCGTGCGCCTCTAGGTCTGGCTTCTCTTTTGGTCTCTTACAGTGGCTTCTACAGGATGTGATGGACAGCAGTCACTGCACTACCTTAGTGGAGCAGATGGTCCAAATCCCTACCCAGAGGCCTTTAAAGCACAGTTGTGCGAGCTTTTGTGTGACCTTGTCTTCTCTCCCTGCCTCTGATCCACCAACCAGAGACTTGCTTTTCCTGCCTCAGTAACTTCTGCCTTCTACCTTTTCTTCATAGAGAACTCCCAGCATGAAGAACTCCTTCATGTTATACCAGCTTCTGGAGTCATTTTCTCCCCCACGTAGCTCAGTCCTTCCCACCACAGCATCTGCTGCAGTCTGTGATTACACACTGGATCATATGTTATTGCAGCTCCAACTGAGCTTCCTCTAGAAAATAGCTGGGCTTCTGTCTATTTCTTGTTGGAGAAAGAAGAGGATAGCTCAGGGACAGGCACAGAGGTGGTTCTGTAAATATTTGCTCAGTGAATTCGACATCTTCTACTCCATCACATCTTGCCATGGGTGTCCTCCCGGAAGGGCTCTTTTAGTGAGAATGCCTCCATTCACAAGGAAAACGAGTTTATAAAAGCCAGAAGACTTTGTTTTTACAAACATATAAATTATTTTATTTACAAAGCCATGTTACAAAAGAAAAGCAAAAACAACAACAAAAAATACAATCGTTCAGTGGAGAATAAATACTTCCAGACCTGGTGCTGAACCACAGTGGTATCAACAGATAACGTTTTCGTTCTTTCATTTAGAAACTGTAAGCCATAGAGTTTACTATTTACACCTACTTCAGACATCTATTTGCTGACATCATCACAGGCATGGAATGGATTCTATCTGATAGTGCTAATTCATAAAGGTGCGGGACAAAGGAGGAAAATACTTAGTGTTACAAAATATGGATCATAGAAAAGAAACCCACTCTACGAGTGTGGCCTTTGTTGAGTATGATTGGACATGCGCTCTTCAAAATTCTTCTGGAAAAGCTTCTAAAACTGGTTAGTAGGAAAGGACAAATGAACAGGTGCAAATTCTTGTCTGTGCAACAATAGTTATTTAATTTACCCCATGACTGACCGGCTACATAAAACCCACAGAGTCTTGTTAAAGTGCCATGGGCTGACAGCATAACAAAATATAAGGTGTAAATAGAAAATTTCCTTTTTTTTTTAAACAAGAGTTCACTGAGAATCAGCAATAATAGAATACGCTGTATAAACTATTTTCTACAAAGGTTATCAGCGTTATTTACAGTTGGTACATGGATACAAAAGAAGGCATACAAGTTATCCAACTCGATTTTGTGATTTTTAAATTTTATATGGCTGACAGGTCTATGCATTGCGTTATGCCTAACATCCAGGCCGCTGAGGCTGAGACACGTCAGGAGCTCCTCAGGCAGACGGGGTGTGAGCAGCCAAGGGGCCGAGACAGAAGGCTGAGTGGGTTATGGGGAACAGAAAGACCCGGAGACGCTACTCTCCTGGTGCTGTAGGGGTTGAATTCTATGGGAACAAACACAAATGAAATCTTTTCTTTGCATTCCATTGTTTTTTCCCTAGCTACAAGCATTTAATACATTAGAGCGTAAACCTGGGGATGACTGTGAAGGAAGAAATACCGTGGGCTTTCCCTTTTTGCTCAGTTTTCTGGAACTGTCCTCACCTTTTGGTCAAAGCGGTCTCTCAAGAGAGTAAGCAGCATTGGGTGGAGAGCCTCTTTATCCCAGCTTTGGATGCAAGACACAGATCGGACCGACCTGAAGCCGGTTTGCTCCCTCTGTCTCTACGAAGACGCTATTTCTCAGAGGCAACCGTTTCAACCTCTGCTTTCCCTCTTTGAATAGAAGAGTTTATGGGCCGGAGGCTTATTTTGTTGCTGAGACTTGTTTTGTTTTTAATCCTGCAAGTTTTACAACTCAAAATAAATTATGTATTTATATATATATATAAACCAACAGACATCTAAAACTGAACAAGACAAAAACTGTGCAAAAATAACAAAGGTATGTACACACCTTTTGAGTCTGAAGAAATGTACAATAAAAACATAATTCAAAGAACATTTTAAAAATATAAACATTGCTTAAACTTTCCTAAGTTTCATATTGTTTTTGAAACTATTCTGGTCAGTTAGCTCTGTAATATAGTAAAACATAAATTATTACAAAATTAACACTATAAAAATTTACTTTAAGAATATCTTCTAAACTTTTTTCAAAGGCTCTAACCTTGTTTATAATTTCTTAAACATTTATAAGTTTTAAAATCTGCCTTAACCTTAAAAAAAATATCCCCCCCAACAAAAAATTAACAATCACCCCTTAAATTTGCAGTCCTTCCTACCCCAGACATAAATTAACCATCATATAAGTGCACTTTTAACACTGGAGAAAGAAAAATGAAATAACCCAACCAATGTCCTGGTAACTAACAACAACTCCTGACTTTAAAACAAAACTTCATTTTTATATTTCAAAGTTTAAGAATCCTGTAAGAAACACTGTCAGTGCAATTCCATCGACGGAAATAACTCCTTTGCAGACTCCAGTTCTGTGGCGAAATTTAGCAGTAGTCTCATCTTTGGGTTGGGAGAAAAGGGATGGGAAGGAGATCTTTGGGGAGGGAGAAGGGGTGTGCCCAGCTGCAAAACTAGCATCCTGATCTCAGGATGGTGCGGGCGTCCGGCCGGTCAAAGCGCAGACACCTGTTCTGGGCTGTGAATTCTCTTTCGGCTGTTTCTTTCAAACTCCAACATGAACAGCTTACGAGCCTTGGTGCTCCAGAGCGTCCCCGCCCACGCCTGTGCTTGCGGTTACCAGAGCTCTGGGCTGTCTGTCTGAGTTAGGGCACCTGAGGACCAAGAGCAGACTTGCCTAAGGTGTAGCTGTGCGATCAGTGGTGTTTCTTATTCCCTCAAGGGGTTTGACACAAAAAACTCCATGCGGACTTTTCTCTAGAGGACCCTTTCTGGCCCCGGACCCTTCCTGATATCTACAGAACTTTCGGGAGCTACGGCCTCTGTGTTACCTCATGAGGTGGCTTTCCTAGGTCTTATGGGCTTTCTGTCTCTGGCTGACCCCGCTTTAGGAAACTGCAGTGTGACCAGGGAAGTGCTCTTCAGAGTCTGTTCCAAACAGGCTCTGACCGGCACAATCATCCACAGCCATCGGGTTCCCACCGTCTTCCCTTCCTCTCAGGTCTCTTCTGCCCTTGTACCTGACCAGTGTATCTTTTCTGCACAGCTGGGCCTTGGCACTGAGTAAACCGCATCATTAAAGGGCCACTGTCCTCACGTTAGTGGCTGGCATTTGGCTCTGGACAAAAAGAACTGCAGAAACCAGTTGAAGAAACCCCCTCTGCCCTGCAATGCAACTCCCAGCGTGTGGTCCAGCGCGGCCGGCCGGTGGGAGCCAGAGCCTCTGATGGCCACTGGAGCACAGTGACTGACAGGTGGGTAGGAAGGGTAGGGAAGGAGAGAATGAGCTCTGCAAGCACTAACGTTCAAGAGCTTCTGTGCATGCCAACCTGGAACCGGAACCGGAACCGGAACCCAGTCTGCAGCCTCTGTTCGCAGGAGCACTAGCAGCATCAGGAGCAAGGGGAGTAGCTCCAAATATGGAAGAATGTATACGACATGATAAACGAAAAATAGAGAGGAAATACTGTTTTCTGTAAATCTCAAATTCAGGTTCTTTTGCCGTTTTTTTAAAAAACAAAACAAACAAACAACAACAAAAGCAACTAAAAATCCATGTGAAAAAAAGAAGAAAGGCAAAGCCACAGCAGCGTCCTGGAAACACTCCCCACACAGGCCAGTGCCTCCCTTGCCCTGACTCCGTCTCCTGGGGAGGATGTCAGCAGGGACTGGTTTGAAGTGGCTTCACCATCTTGTTAGGGAAGAGTCCTGATCCTGCCCATTCTGCTTGTGTTCTTCTAGGAAAAAAAAAGAAAAACTCGTCTCATTCAAGGTGATTCATGAGAATCCGGGGGGAGCCTCCATGTCCTCCTCTGTGACAGGAAGAAAGGAAACACTACCTGCACTGCTAAGAGCAGCTGAGCTTTGTAACTAAGAGGGCAGCCATGAAGGAGTCCAAGGCCAAAGGGAAGCATGGGACAAGTGCAGTGGGCTTCATGGGGTCTCTCCTGGACAGAGCGCTGGGACGCCCATTTCTATCGCTTCATTTTCCCCTCCATAGCATAAATGATACAGTTAGACACCTGATGAAGGCCTATAGCCCTGGGTTAAAACCGAGAGGCTTGGAGATTTGGGGTGCACAGACTAATCTTCTTGGTGAGGCCATCTTCATTTAGCTGAGTAAACTTTGTCCCTCACAGGGTTGCCACACGCTGTTTGTATTTTCTTCTCCCTCTAAGAGGCATAATTGCTTCCCTGCCTTTCCGCAGACGTGTGCACATACTCCTTCGGAGAAAGTCACTGACTGCTGGCTTACATGTTGATTACTCTCACTCCTTCAAGGGAATCAAGACCACGGCAAGTCTTCCTGAATGTTCCCACTGTGGAACCGCACACCGAGCAGGAACGACAGCTCACCCATGGTCTCGGGAAAGGCAGTGGCGGACACTAGCAACGCCCCTCTGCCTCCTTAATTTCACTCTCATGATGCCCTTAGGAGGCAGCCAGCTAACAAAGCAAAAAACGGACACCTAAAGAAGTAATGTTCAGACATCACAGCGGTGGTAATAACAGTCATTATACGAACACTCGACTGTGCTATGTGCCACAGAATGTTCTTGCTATTTTTCAGATACTTTACATGAATCAACTAATTTAGTCCTCACAGAGGTCATGGGCCCTAGGTTCCGTCATGGTTCCCATTGCATAGAGAAAGAAATGGAGGAGGAGAAATAAATTGCTCGAGGGCCCACAGCTAAGAACTAGAAGGTCCATGGTTGGAAGCCAGATTATCAGCTCCAATGGAGGGAGACTTGAACCAGGCTCTGACCCCAGTGCAGTCTTATGGGCCTGGTGTCAGCTCTATGTGGAAACTTACCTGTCGGCTGTGTCCTGGGCTGGATATGCTTGAAGGACTGGACTGTGACAAAGCTAGGCTGCTATTTTTTCCAACCTGAAAGACACCATGAACCCCCATTCAGACACAGAGGCGGCTAGGGAAGGATCCTCTGACGCTGTATGTTGTCAGGGCAGAGGACCAGGGCACGACTACATGCCTTACTCCCTTGACTACTCAGGGTGGATGCTCCCAACTTACATGGCAGGAAAATGTCCTCCCATAGAGAAAAAACAACTGTGGGAGCAACTCAGTCGTCACTCTAGCTCAAGGGCTCACAAGCCCATGCACCTCGGACAGGTGCAGGCCACCTTGTTTTCAGCCCTGGCTCCTTGGGCTGCTGCAGATAAAGCAGCAGGTCTGTCTGGCTAAGAGATCCAGCATTCAATCTCTTGTTCTTCAGAAACCAGTTTATCTAGCTGGGCTGCCCTAGCATGCGCAGGAAGAAGGGGGCGGGTACTGTGCCCCTGGGTACTGCTTCTCTGTGGGACTGTCCTTGACCCTGGCGGGGTGGGCTCTGGGGAAAGTTGATGCCAGGATTCAGTCCCATGGTTCCAACTCATTTGCAAAAGCAGCTCTTGCCCCCGGCCTCCAAACAGCTCCATCCTGGTCTTCATTCCCCGTTTGTATGGAGGCACAGACCTTTCCCTCACAGCACTGCTGTGTCCAATTTAATACCTTGGTGGAATTTTTTTGGCCTCTTACTTCCCAGATACAATTAAGAGGACCTACAAGCTCTCAGTAAGGCACAGTTTCATTTTGGATTTCTTTTGAAACAGGACCTCATGCAGCTCTGGTTGGCCTGGAATTCACTTTGTAGCTGAGGGTAACCTTGAACCTCTGAACTTCCTGCCCACATCTTCCCAGTGCTGGGATTACACATGGCTGCCATACCTGGCTCTCAGCTTAGGTTTCTTGAGCTTTCCTGTGGTGACTCCAGCCAAAGCCTTTTCTCAGTGGCCTGGTGACAAGCATTGAACTATCACTTTGTTGGGGGGTTGGGTGCAGCCTGGCCTGCAGGCAGCTATCAAGACTGTCCTGGTGCACACTGTGGGCGGCTTAGTCTGAGAGCCAACAGGCCAGCACTCAATACACAGGCACTTCAGGCTTGAGCAGAAGGACGAGAGCCCAGAGTCAACTCCTGGGTTTCAATCTCTCCCCACTATTCATCTGCTGTGTGACTTTGGGAAACCCCTCTAACCTCCCTCCATCTTGTTTGCCTCGTGCGTGATAAAACAGGTTGCTAACAGGTTAGGTATTGGGTTCTCAGATCTCAGTGTCTGGGGACATGGACCATCAGTGACATGCAGAGCTTTATCTGAAATGAGGGCAGCAATGGCCTTGCTGCTGCAGCAGAGGCTCGAGAGCCAGTGGGGCGGCCCCGCCTACCTGCCCATGGGGAACGCGGACTGGGTGGTCTTACTCCCAGCCTGTTCACCCCCAGGGTATCTGTCGGTGTACGGTCCAGTAGAAGAAGCTGCGTGTGCCTCCTTTGAGTCTGCAGACGACACCAGCTAGCAGTCTGGGGTCTGGGTAGGGAGCGGAGGGTGAGCATGACCCGTGACATTGGACCCATCTCACCTTGGCCAAGGCTGCAGCTGTCTGGCCCTTGCTAGTGTGTATGCCTGTGAATCCCCTCAGGAGGCTCTTCTTGGGGCTCTGCTAAGTGTCATATATGGGGACACAAAACATTAAGGTGGTGGTTCTCAACCTGTGGGTCACGACTCCTTATGGGAGCTGAACAACCCTTTCAGGGGGGATGCAGACCAGACACCCTGCATATCAGATATTCACATTATGATTCATAAAAGCAGCAAAATTAATTATGAAGTATCAACAGAAATCATTTTATGGTTGGGGGTCACTACAACGTGAGGAACTGTGTCATCAGAAAGGCAGAGAAGCACTACCTTCATACACCTCCTGTCTCTCCAGAGTCCCCACCCCTCAATGGGGCTGCCCTTGGGGTCTGATCTGGTAGTTCCCTGGTGATAAACCTGGGCTACCCTTCCAGAAGGGCGGCTCTCAAAGCCCACTCAGAGAAGGGTGAGGAACCTGGGGTCCTTCCCTCAGCTCCGAGCTCCCTTCTGGTGGGCCCAGAGTAGGAGAGGACTGTATCAGCAGCTCTCCAGCCTGAGGAGACAGCCTGGATTTGGGGAATGGAAACAGACTCTCAGGAAACATCCGGCTGTTCTCAGGCTGCCCACATCTCCCAGTGCACACTCTTGTGGGTGACCTGGCACTGAGCACTTCTTTTGCTATGGGGGAAAGGGGCAGTTTTGCTAAGGGTCAAGGCAGCTTGATGAGGTGAGGACAATCACCAGGAAGCAGAAGCAGGGCGCTCAGGCTGTCACTCTCCAGGTGGGACCTGATATCACTTAACCAGCCTGGGCCTCAGGCTCATCCTGCAGGGCCTCCAACAGATCAGATCAAACTTCTTAGCAACAAAACTCTTTAATGAAGTTGTCCTCAGAACAGACAAAAGGAACGAAGGAACTCACAGCGTCCCGTGATGACCGCTTTGGGCCCCTGTGCTGGGTCCATGCGAGAGCTAAAGAAAGTGATTACTGTAAAGTGCTTAGCATAGGGACCAGTAAAGTGAGGGTCTTACCAACAACTCTCAGAACCGAGGGGAGCATTGCCTACGGGGAACCTGGGAATAGAGCCTTGCTGGTGTCACCTGCAGCTCCCCCTGCCCCCCAGAGCCGATGAAGGCAGTACCAGGAGTTCCCTTACCTGCCGAGAGGTGGTGCTGTTAACGGGATCGGGCACGGGTGCAAGAAGGCTGGGCGGGTTCTTTTTGTGGACACTATTCATACCAGGCATTTTAGTGATCTTACAGGCTTTGCTACTGGGACTTGAGCTCTTACGCTTTTTTCCTTCTGATTTGTCAAAAGACAGGGGCAGAGAAGACACAGCGTTGTGTGAGGCCAGAGAGAGGTCCCCTGCATGGAGTGCAAGCGAGGGCACGGCGAGGGGACAGGAGCCACTGCTGCCACCCACAGCGCCCACCTGTCTCACTATGTCCATGGGGCTGCTGGGCAGCAAGGTCCGTCCTGAGGGCTCCAGCTTGGCACTGAGGGGGCTCAACCCGTTATTTGAGTTGTGCACGGACAGACTGTTAAAGGGAGGGGCTGCCTGATGGGAGTTCAAGGAGGAACTGGCATTCAGAACGCAGTTCTTTTTGTGGGGCCCTGACAAGGGAGATGAGAAGGAAGCCTGCAAGGGTAAGGAGGAGGAAGTCGAAGACTGCGGCTTCCTCTTTTTGTTACTTGGAGATTCGTCGGTACGAGCTGACGGGTCTTTGACTTTTGAGGATTTGCTGGTTTTGGTTTTGGATGGCTTGTGGGATGAAGAAGGAATGACAGCTGGAATTGGGGACACAGCGGATGGGGCCTTGAAGGTTGAGTCCATGATGCTGAGGGTTGCGGCCACGTGGGGGAAAGCTGTGGCGTGGGACATGAGGACGCGTGGGTCTGGCGATGCCACGAAAGCTGCATCGGAGAGCATGGCTGATGTCATTATGTAAGAAGACGTGAGTCTCGAGCCGATGGGAGCTGAAGGAAGATACACAGCCCCTGGGGTGCTGAAAGGCTGCAAAACAGATGCCGGGACAGGGGTGGCGATGTGGGCTGCTGGCGAGGGCATGGGGCTGTCTGCCGCAGGAGGGATCTTCCTAAACACGAGAGAAGAGCCAGAGAGACACAGTGAGACATTGGCTTGGCACCGCTTGGGAGACCTGGTGAGCTGTGATCAGCAGAGCTACAGAGGACACCCAGGAGGACCAGACTATGGAGAATGAAGCCTTGGAGGATGGTGAGAGGTGAAGGATGGTCCTTTCCTATGCTGCCCACTAAAGCAACACGACAACATTGCACCTATTCTCACCCTGGGGAGCCTGTTCTCAATGTTTAGCCACTGAAGACTGGCTGGTCTGGCTCATGAGGAAAAGGCAAATGCTATTAAGACTGTAAATACCCTAAGTAGTCTCCCCCACTTCACACACCGCTAGCTGTGATGAAAGTGGTTTTCAACAAGAAAAAAGGCCTTGGCCACCTGGACATGTCCCCTCTGCTTACTGCAACCTCTTCCACCTTCTTTCCCATGCTGCTTTCGGCTGGAGATATTCTGAAGAAAACGAAAAGAGCCATCTTCCCACTTGTCAGCATCCTGTTGTGTTTGCTACCCAATGCCTCTGGCTACTCTGTAGAGAGGCATTTCCACAGTGGCTCACGGCTACTGGATTGTGGTGGCCATGGAAAGCCATCTTGGAGAATGATAGTATCAAGTTGTTCATACCTCTCTCCCTCACTCTGTTTCAGTGGGGTTGGCACAGAGCTGCCCTTCAACAAGTCCCCTGAGGAAAGGTTAGAGTCCTGGACCCATGTGTCCCGGGGGGACCAGGAATTTAGGTGCAGAATGTGGGCAGAAGACCAGCATGTGAACGGGGGTTCAGAGAGCCATGGCTTTCTTGAAACTGATGGGGATGGTTCCCGAGGGCAAAGTGCATAGACCAACGCCAGCACTAGGCAGGGTGCCATTCTTAAGGCCTCTGCATACTTTTTTTTAGACAGAGTCTCACTATGCAGTCCCAGTTGGTCCTGAGTTTGTGGTCTTCCTTCCTTGGCCTTCTGAGTGTGGGGTTATAGATCTGTGAGAGCACGTAGCCATAAAACCCTCTGCCTTTTGACTTCTCTTGAAAATGGCTCTATTTCTGGTCCATGCTGTGCTACCCTTGGGACCAGGAGATGTGGGTACAGCAGTTATGAGATCACAGCCTGCTCCTAATTTTGAAAGAAGTAAGGGACGTTAGGAGCCAGAAAATGCTTCCTTGTTTTTTGCAGAGCTCTCTGTTTGTTCCCCCCAGTGTATGTTCTCAGGAGTCTCCCTTCTCTGAGGTAAGCTCTTTCTCTCACAGGGCAAACGGACCATCCCTTCTCCTCTGCAGGCCCGCTCCAGCTGAGAAGTTACCCTCTACTGACATTCCCCTCTGAAGATGACTTGTCTGCCACTTGCAGTAGAGCCTGTGGCTTCCACCTCGAGGGTGGAGTCCAGTGGCATCCTTGAGTACAGAAACAGTGTCTTTGAAACTGTCAGACCAAGGAGATCAAATACGAAAGTGTTGCCAAACCTACATCAGCCATGATGGCGTCTGAGAACTCTGAAGCCCACGGGACATCAGAGCTCCTGTTGGCCCTGAACAAGATGCTGCACAGATAGATACTTGCTGCGATGAATGGATGAGTGTGTGCACAGATGGATGAAGGGGCAGTGATGGGAAAGCAGATGATCTCAGCAGCAACACAACTGCATTGTCAGGGACTACGCATGCGGGGCAGGGATTCCCATGGAGGTCTGCATGCATCCTTAGAACGGTCTGGTCCTGCATAACCCTTTCCTGACAGGGCACAGACACATTCTTGGAGGCACTGGCAATGTTCTTGCTGTCTTTGTTACCCTACTGTGCTACTGCAGGTGCTCCCACCGCTATGTTATCACCAGCTAAATTCAGAGAAACAGACACAGGGGTAGATGTTTAACTCTGGACTGTAATAAGGTTAATTTACAAGTACCAGATAGTTAATTTACTTAAGCAGGTGGGACTTCATTTCGGGACCTTGAATGAGGTACATCTTAATGTCCCAATTTATATTTTTCTCATTAAACAGTACACATACTTCAAATTGTGCAGACAGGCAGAATTGCGGTCCTAAATCTTACTTGGCCCCTGCTCAAGATTGGAATGACTGCTACTTCTGGTATGTTTTCTAGACCTTTCTTTCCTCTCCTCTCCAGCCCTCAGTGGTAGAGGAGAAGTGGGAGGTGGGGTTATCCCTGCAAGCCTTTCCCCTTGTGCTAATAAGTTTCTGTGTTTCCCAGGTGCCCAATGGCAGCAGGTTTCACCTTTGCTGGGCTGCCTGACTTGGCACGCTGGCCTATAAGGTGTCCTGTATAAAAGCCCAGAGCTGTGAATAGATCCCTGATGGCTCCCATCCTCCCCTACCAGCTGCCATGGAGATCAGATGCTGACCTGGCTGAAAGCGAGCACTGTGCTGGCGCCTCCTGATGAAGACTTAAATGCTTGTTAAAGAAAAAAGAGTCTTGGCCGTTCCTTCTCTTCCTAATGTCTTCCATGCCCTCATTGGCTGCCATCCCTCCAGGTTCGGGCCCGCCAGGGCCTGGAGTTTGGGCAGCGAGGCTGAGAGGGCAGCGGGGTGCTACGCTCTCCAGAGTTGACACCCAGGCAGCCCCAATGTTGCTCAGTGACAGCAGATTGGTTAGGCAAGTCCTGAACAGAGGGGAGGGACCTGATGCCCTGTGGCTCGGGCTTCTGTGCCTGAGGAGGAAAGGAATATGAAGCTTGAGCTGACAGAGCACCAGCGAGCGAGATACAGACCAACACATGCCTTCCGCGTGCCGGGACTCACACTTGTGTAACGCAGCAGGCCAGGCAGCTGGGAGGTTACTGGGGCTGGCCGCCATGTTTGGAAGGTAAAGCATAAGGCCAGGTCATCAAATAGCCAAGAACTACATAACCCTATCAGGACTCTCCGTGGTTTAAATGCATACAAACAGAAACCAATGATGCCCTGCAGACAAGCAGGCAGCCACTCACGGGGAAGACGTGGTAAGCGTCTCTAGTGGCCCTTTCCTAGGTGATAACAGCCTCTGTCCTAAGACCCCTGGGGGGAAGGGTTGGGCTAGGGTCTGTGTGTGCAAAGGGGATAAACTGGCAGAGCTGCCCCGGAGGAGCAAGCTGTGGGTTCGGATTCCTCTTTCTCTGGATGCTCTGTTGCCTCCCCTGGGCTTCACTGGGCAGGCTCAGGGTCTCACCTGTTATGGGTCCTTAGTCTGGCATGACCCATTCTTTTATTGGAGTATACAGCTAAACTCCTTAGGAGGAGCGCAGGGTAGGGACACTCGGTGGTTAGCTAAGTGATCAAAATGTAGCTTCTTATTTGTCAGGGTTGAGAGGGTCCAGGCTACTGCTCCTTCTGAGGAGCATTCTCCGTTTCTCCCTTTTCTATAAGTCCCCTGTAAGGTGTAAGTATATTGGAAATGGTGTAAAGTATGGGTAACAAGCTGGAAGTCAGAGAGAGAGAAGGAGAGGTGAGGCCCTAGGGAGGGGGGATGGGCCCAAGACAAACTTAACCCACTTCACAACACTGTTCAGATCTGCCCTTTTGGCAACGGTACATGGTTTTTAATGAGGACAGCAACTAGCTAGAAACTGGTTTGTAAACCACTATGAAAATTTTACTATTGCTCCTGAAGCATTGACATCACAAACAGAAGCACACTCAACATCTTTAGACAACAACAAAGGCTTATAACCCTATGGAAAACACAAGGTCTTACCTAAGATCCTTTCGTTTGGTTGAGAAGGTTACCAAGACAACCATCTCCCAAGAAGACAAAGCAAACAGCACACTATAGGTATTCTAAAAGGCTGTTAATTAAAACTGACATTCAGAATCAATCAGGAATGCTGAGTCAGAATCATTCTGGTCTATGGCAAGCCAAGTGCTAGTAAGGTTAGAGCTCAGGTAACGGTAGGGCAACTCTCAACTTATAGTGCAAAGAAACTGCTCACTTACTTCCACATCTGTGAATTCAAGTGTTTTTCTACCATGGAGTTTAGTGCGAACCGAAAACGATCCCATCTTCTATCAAACACATAGTACCCCCGTCCCATGAGGCGACTCCCAAATGAGCAGAACTAGGAGGGAAAAACCATTTTAATTTTGATTACAGGTTAATAAGCTAATATAAAGCACACAGAGAAAAATAACATTTGCATAAAAACACACAGGGGTACAATTTTACTCAAAATAAAATAAACAACTTGTATTGAAGCCAAAAATATTTCTGTGATGCTATAGTTTGAGCTCTGGATTCTCGGCAGAACCTCAGTTAAGCCAGTGATTGTGCTATTCAGTTTTCCGTGGCATGGAGAGCCACACTCTTTACTTCTAAATGGAGCCAGTATTTTAGGATAGAAAACAACAGAACAACTACATCCAGAAGGACTCTGTAGTTCCATCCATTCATCACGCCACCTGTAATCTCTAGGAAGTTGGGCTCCCTGCCTCTGCTCCAGAAATGAGAAGGGACGGCTCTTTCTGTGTGATGCACAGACTGGCTTCCTTCCTCCTGGGTTGCCTTTCCATACCAGTCCAACCACATCTGCACTATTTTATTTATGTACGTGCTTTGGTGTTTGGCCTGCATGTATGTCTGTGTGAGGGTGTCAGATCTTGGAGTTACAGACTGTGAGTCCTCTGGGATAGCAGCCAATGCTTTTAATCGCTGAGCCATCTCTCCAGTCGCTAAAACACTTCTTTTAATTTTTGAGACAAGGTCTAGCTATGTAGCTCTAGATGTCCTGGAACTCACTATGTAGACCAGCCTGGCCTCGAACTCACAGAGGTCTTCCTGCCTCTGACTCAGCTGTACTCTCTATCTGCTCTCATGCCTCTGAGCTCTTACCCAGACCCCTCTGCCTGCTGGTTCCCTCTTGGCAATTATGATTCTAGCCTTTGATACCCAATTTATAGTTCTCATTGATAATGGCCTCATCTGACTAATCCTGCCACTGTGAACACTGATGACACATCTTCTCCACGTTATATCACATCTCACTTAGGCCTATCTAAGGCATAGCACATATCTTAGATATAATCACATATCAATGTTTAAGCTGTGGGGACTTAATTCTCTTTCTCCTCAGTATAAGGTTCATTGAGATAAGAAATAAAATAAACCACTGCATTGAAACCTTATGACTGAAATATCAGGAATTTAGTAAACACTGATTATAAAATCGGACAACTGAAGGCCAGTAGACAGAAATGAAAGAAGCAGCCTCTGGAAAGGTGACATTTGCTGGGTCTGGAGCTCAGGGAAGCCTCCAAATGACTCTATAATTCAAGTGTGACACCTTCCCCATCCCCCAGGCCTCTATTGGCTCCCTGGATACAAGCCCAGATTCAGTACTGGATTGGTACCCATTCCACAAACACATCCTGGAACCAGCCTTGGAATCCATTCTCAGGAGGAACTGTGAGGTTTTCCCTTTGTTGTTTCTGCTTGAGCTGGTTTGGGGGTATTAAAACCTTGCTACCCACAAAATCCAATACTACAAATTACTTACTACAGCAAGTTTTTACTGACCAAGGAGAAAAAACACACAGGGCAACTCTTCAGCACAGAAGGTGGCCTCCACCTCTCTGAGGGAGCTAGCCCTGTATAGCCATCACCTCCTCTTTTATCCCAATTGCTAAGGACTCATTGAACAAGGGTATATTGCAAAAAACAAACAAAAATGATTTACTATGTCAGTTGGCCATGAGAAAAAAGGACAAAGCAAAGAAACAAACCCACGGGTTTTCCATTTCTATCAGCAAAACATTAAGGGCCTATGATTGCCCTGTAAATGTGGCTAATCTTCTTTCTATGGCATGGTCTTGATGCTCTTTGCAGTCTGGTCTTTTGGGAGGGACCAGTGTCTCTTTCAGACTTGGAAGCTGGGGGCCCCTTTGGTTTGGGCTACCAGTGTATCTACTAGCTCTTAGACGGAAGGACAGGTAGCTGGCATGGCATAGCTCTTCACTAAGCCAGACCTCCATGCTGCTGTCCTCATCTGCAGTGTCCTGCCTCACGTGGCCCTGTCTTCCTGCTAACACAGCCACACATATGAGTTGATGTCTTATTTGCGGCAGTGACAGCGAAGACGCTACTCCTCCCAGACCTTGGAATGTGACACAGCCGGATCACCAGACTCCATTCTTTCTCTGCCACCTGCCAGCGCAGTGCAGACGTGAGGCAGGTTTCTGCTGAGTACACAGAAACGTCTGCTGGGGTTTCCTGGAAAGCTCTTGTTTTGCAGATGAAGAAAGCCCCCTTTTCTGTGTGTCCCCTTTCTTCCTGTTTAGAGTGCCACTAGGTGCAGATGTGGCCCTGGAGCTCATGCTGGTGGATGTATTAAAGTGTGAACAGCAAAGACATTTACAGATATAGGAGAGAGTTACACCAAAGTTGGAAGCACACCTACCTCTAGACTTCTTGTCACACGAGATAATGAAATGGTCCTTGTGTGAATATGGAGGCACTGGGATTTCTACAACTGCAGGCAAAATCATTACAACTGGTCCTCACTATCGTCACCACCACCTCCGGAAAGGGAAGCGGCATACACAGAGGAGAAGGAACCAGCCTTATCTTCCAGCAGTGTTGATTTTACTTATAAAGCCCCTGAGACTAGAGTCAATCAGAGCTAATCCTTCAGGCTCAGGCAAGCACCAGAATAAACCACCATGGAGACCACATTCCTAGGACCCCAGCACCACGATCTGTGGCTGTCACACCAGATACTTCCTTTTTCAGAGGGAAGTAAGGCAAATGTAAATAAACTTCCAGCTGATGCCCTGATTTCTCCTTCTGACACTGATGGCCATCTGAACTGTTAGCGTGTACTCCTCCAAGTGGCTGTTGCTGGTGAGCAATCACACTGATGTAAACCCTGCCCCTCTGCTGGCTCTGCTGCCAGACCATCATGCTAACAACAGTCAAAGAGAGCTATCAGGGAGAATGATGGAAGCTGAACCTGAGCTGCTGCTAAGACAGCTTCTAGAGCAGGTGCCTCTAGCTCATTCTCGACTAGAGGCTCTGTTCTCAGATGTGCAACATCAGGTTGGTTACCAAGGACATGTATATAGACACCATTTTTTCAAGCATTTTTAAAGGATTACCGCCCTTTCCTTCCACGGTCAAGGGCATCTCTAGTGCCATTCTGCCTTTGGGGAAGCCTTCTGATGATACTCTACTCTGGAGCCCTTCCCTTAGGAATGCAAGCCTCTGCTGCCATCACCAAGTGGTCTCTGAGGCACTGGGGACACAACAGGGAAGGGATAGAGGCCTACCGCAAGAGGTCTGGGGTGGTGTGTGGAGAACTGACAGTCTAACTTCTCAGATTCGTCGGCTCCGTCCATCTCCCCTTCATCACTGGACAGTCGGCTGGCAAGGTCACCTCCAGCTGGGGGCAGAGGGGGTTCTGGGGTGTAGCCACTGTGACTTGAAGATGCACTGCTGCTTATGCTGTTTGCAGATGATGGTCTAAGGGTGAGAGGAGAGAACACACATAAGTTTTCTTGAGGAAACCAGATTCACCTATCTCATGCCACCAAAAAGCAGCCCTGCCATGATGTCAAGAAGGGTGGGCCAATGGCAATATTCTAAAACAGAAAAACTAAGCATGAATGTTTGACAGTTCTCTACAATGGCCCACTAGAGCCAGGTGATTACTCTCTGCTTACTGCCTCTGGGGTACAATACAAGCCCAAGGGAAAAACCCAAGTGTAAGCAGAGGGACGGTGACACGTAAACCATGTGAACGTACACAGAGCCTGTCTCCGTGAGCTTAGCTACGAATACTCACCCAAGACTAAGTGCTACCAGCATTTTGGCTTATGTTCTTCTAGAATCCCTTAGTGTATACACATAATTTTTCTTTTAAAAAGCATAAGCCATTTTTAAGTAAGAACAAGATTTGAGACAAGATCTCATGTATGGCAGGCTTTGAGCTCATTATGTACTCAAGGATGACCTTGAACTTGTAAGCCTCAAGTCTTTGCCCCCTGAGCACCAGGATCATAAAAGGTGCCACCATGCCCCATTGATGCAGTCCTGGGGACCAAAGTCAGGGCTTCCTGCATGTTAGGCAAGCATTCCAACTGAGCCACACCCCCAGCCCTCAAGACAGATTTGTTTTAAAAGTATTATTTTACTTATGTGTATGGGATTTTGTATGCATGTGTGCCTGTGTCTGAGGAGGAGAGATGAGAAAGCTAAATCCCCTAGAACTTGAGTTACAGGTGTTTGCAAACTGCCATGTGGTTGCTGGGAATTGAACACAGGTCCTCTGGAAGAACAGCCAGTGCTGCTAACCACTGAGCCATCTTTCCAAACTTAACACATTTTTTAAACTTAATGATGTAGAAATTCTTTTGTGTATCATTACTTTTAAACATCCTCAAGTAATATTTACCACAATTTATGTAGCTAACCCTAAACATTTGTTTCTAAATATTCTGAATGGCTCTCGGGTTCAGCGCATCATGGCAGGACCTTGTTCTACAGGATAAAAGTGACCTGACCTTTTTTTTAAATTGCATCTTGGTTATACAGGGAAACAGCTTTGTTTGTTTGTTTAGAGACAGGGTCTCTATGTAGCCCTGGTTGGCCTAGACCTCTCTAAGTAGACTAAGTTGACCTCAGACTCAGAGGTCGGCTTGCCTATTCTTCTCCAGTGATGTGTGATTAAAGACACACATCACCATTCCTGGCAAAATGTGTGTCATAAGATGGCCTTGAACTCACAATCCTACTTGTAAGGATTCAGGAATTATGCTGGCCTGCCCCTGTCACCTGGCATAATGCACTCTGGCAGCGCCCTGGTCAGCCCAGGTGCAAAGGACCCCTTTAAAAGACAGACCCCGCCCACTTACACTCTCTTCCCCACTCCTCTCTTCCTGCTCTCTCTTTCCCGCTGTTCCCCTGGGGCAGACAGGACTTTTCCTGTCTCCCTCTTATCTGTGTCTCTTTGTCTCTTTCCTCTTTCCTTCCCCCTTCCCTCCCCTTTCTAATAAAACTTCTCTCTAAGCTCTGTCTGACTGGCGTGTTTGTCCCTCCACCTTGGTCACCCTTGCTGCTAGGGAGTCCACACAAGGTTCTCAGGAGCTTTATGCTAACACTATGGCTCCACCTCTTCAGCATGTCCTACTGGCGATTTTCACTTTTGAAAAGTGAAATGTCATGGTCTTTGTAACTCAAAAGACACTAACAAAAACACATTACAATAAAATCGCAAAATACTAACGTAACAACTGTTACGTTACGAGATTAGGTAAGTCTTCATCAATACATGGCTACTTTCCAGCATGCAGGGGAATTTTCATTTAAAAAAATTGAAAATAGAAACAAAAAGAGAGCCAGCAGTGATACCATATATGTAGGAAAGGGGCCCTGCAACCAGAACCAAAGAAATGCACCCTGACCCTGAAACCAGTGCCAAAGAAACACACTTTGTCCCTGGAATCAGAGCCAGTGAAAAAAATGCACTCTGGCCCTAAAACTAAAGCCAACAGGCTACAAAAGGACCAATGAAAGAAACACACTTTGGCCCTGAAACCAGAGCCAAATCTGACCCTAACCTTGTGCAGAAAACTAGCCAATCCCTGAGCAGGAGATTGAAATCTGACCAATCCCCACCCTGGAAGCCCTATGTAAATCCTGTGTCTGTTCAGCTTGTGGCTGTTTGTGCTACCCAGCTGTCCTCTGCCAGAGTGGCAGAGGGCAGCCACCCTCCTGGATTCTTCCCTCCCAATAAATCCCTTGGATGAGCTTTGGGTGAAGACCTTCTTTTGCAGAGGAGCAGAGACGACCCCTGGCAGAGCAGAGTGAGCAGTGCTGTAACACATTTGCCAGGGAAACCTTTCCTTGTTACACTCTGCTCTCCACTCTCCTAGGAGCAGAGCAGAACTGTAGCAACTTCGCCCAGGAAACCTTCTCTTGCCGGAGTAAAACTGCTGCATTGGGCAAACATCCCCAGCTGGGAAACCCTCTCCTGCCGGAGCAGAGCTGATACACTGGGGAAGCCTTTCCCTGAGGCAGGGCTGTAAGCTGCTATGCTGAATGTGGCTTGTGGTATACCTTGGCTCCTGAGCTCCAGGATAACTTCCATCTAAGCTGTGTAACACTTAGTATTCTGTGACTCCTGAGTGCCAGAATACTTTTCTATCCGAACTGTAACACTCAGTATTCCTTGGCTCCCGAGTGCCATAATCCATCCCTGTCTATCCCATCTGATCCGTCCAAAATGCTTACAATGACCCCAAATGCTACCCACCAAATGATGGGAGGACAGGCATGGGTTATCACACCCTGCTTATCAAGTGTGTTAAAAAATTAACCTACCTATCCAGGGTCTTCTAGGGACTGAACCAGGGCTTCTACCTTCAGAGTTCTGGGATTATAGGCATAGCCCTCCCTCCAGCTATCCTTGAAGTAACAAGCCTCCTGGCACAGCCTGTGGAGTGCTGGGATTATAGACATGCACAGCTAGCTACACCTGGCCTCAAATTTCTTTATGTATTTATCCATAAGCAGACACTTAGCTTGTTTTCCTATCTTGGCTACAGTGAATCATTACACAATAATACCAGAGTGTAAAGAGATTCCATTAAATGAAGTATACAGTCATTCACCAACTTCCCTCCCCAAATTCCACAACCAAGATATTTAAGGACTTTTTACAAAGACAAGGAAAGCCAAAGAACACCGAATAGCAGAAAGATGGTGGTAGCTATCCTGAATCCACGTGGGCTCTTTTTAATTGTGTCTGCTAAGGACTGGCTTAGAGGGGGCCACAGGAAATCAAAGAACATTTATCGGGGCACGAGGAATACGGAAAATTTGTTACATGTATGTGAAAGGGCAGGAGGAACATAGGAAATGTCTGTCTCTCCAGCTCAATTTTCCTACCAACCTAAAACTGCTTTAAATATAGAGGATATTAAAAGTATGTGAAGAACACATCTAGAAAGTGGTCTCAGCTTCATCTGACCTTGCAGTCGGATGTCCCTGAGATGGCCGTGGCCATCTTGCTACAAGATTTGAAGGATAAAGCCCTAGGGACTAAAGATGGTAAGATAAAAATTTTCAGGGGGTGCAGGAAGAGGGCCATTGCGATCCGAGGTGGTCAAAAGCACTTGCTGCTGGCAACCTGAGTTTAATGTCCAGAAGTCACATAGCAGGGGAAGGAGAGGGCTGCCCTCCACATTCGAGTTATCACACATCCCCCAGCATACCACAGACACAGAGAGAGGTGGGTAGAGAGGGAGGGAGAGAAAGAGAGAGACCAATATCTGTGGCTTGCTTGTTACACTCAGGAAGAGTCCTAACGACTGGGGCCTCAATAGGTCAAGGTTCTGCTATCTGTACCTGAAGAACCTGAACTGATACAAGTCTGAGCAGATTTTCACATAGTTTAAAAACAATGTGGCTGGAGAAGCACCGTGTACTGAAAAAGGAGATGACTTCCTGTGGGGTTTCTAGGAAGCCTAGTATCTGCACCTACTGAGGGCTACAAAACTTCCTGTTTATGGTAGGAGGGTCAGGAATTCAAGCCCAGCCTGGGCTACATATTAAGTTCAAGGCCAGCCTAGGCTATATAATGTAACCCGAAAGGAAGGAAAGGAAAGAAGGAAGGAAAGAGGGAGAGAGAGGGAAGAAGGGAGGGAGGAAGGGAAGTTATAGTAAGAAAAGTTGGCCTCCATATAGGTCATTACATATCAAATACCACCATGCCTGGCAGGACCCTGTCACCATCAGTCAACCTTCTAGGAAGAAGCAAAGACTGAAGAAAATGGTCTGGAGAAGCTGCAGACACAGGCTTCCAAGCATGTCAGGGAACAGGAGAGAGGCACAGGTTACAAACAGAAGCCAGGGGTTGTCCTCAATGAGGACTCCCAGGCACCGAGGTGGCCATGACATCATCAAGTCACATTCATTTCTGGAGAAACTGACCAGCTGCAGGGACTCTTCCAGATCTCCAGCCAGCTTGCTGGGACCTATCTTCCAGGTATGCATTGTCGGCGCTCACCTGGCATTTCTGGAGCAGCCCCAATTCGAAGCTGACCAGCCAAGCACAAAAGACAACAGCACACAGGTGAAAAACCTGTGGTGATCAAGGGAGAGAGGAGGAGCTAAAAAGCTGTCTTCAAATATGCCAGAATGCTATCACCCTGTTTGGAGTGAGGCTCAGTGGTATAGCTGAGTGTTTGCTTGGCCTATGAAAGGCCTTGGGTTTGGTCTCCAGCACAACCAACTCCTCAGACCAAAGCAAAACAAACAAAAAGAGGCATCACTCACAAAATTACTGTCTTGTAAAATAATCAGATAAACATGAGGCAAGCTGGGCATGTGCACAGCTACTCAGAGGGCTGAGGCAGGGGGATCTTGAGTTTAAGGCCCATAGTGAGACCCAGTGGTGGTGTGAATAAGAATGCCCCCATAGGCTCATATATCTGAGTTCTTAGTCACCAGAGCGTGGTGCT